TCGTGTAATTTTTAAAATCTACCTAAACTTTTGGGACAACAATGTTTAGTGACATTTCTATTATTGTAAGCATCTTAATAACTATTAAATTGTTAAATTTATCTTTTTAATGATATTTAACATGATCTCATTAAATCAACTGAAAGTTCATTATTTTAAAAGTTATTCATGAAAAATCATTTTATCTTGGAACAGACCTTAGAAAAGTTCTGAAAATTTCAAATATATAGAATATTATATAGAACTAAAAATATTTTGAATATATTTGAAATGATTCTGGATTACAAGTACTTTAAACTCCTGTTAAATGTTTATGAAGAAATATTGCAATTTCCAAATTTTTTTGAAAAAATTATCAATAGTCAAAATAGTGATGATCTACAAAAACAACCATAATAGCATAGTCTGCAAGAATGAAGTTAAACTTAATAGTGATAATGTTAAAACATGCAAATGTGTATGGATCCCCGAAAGGACAAAACGTACAAATATATATGCAAATACAAAGTTTATTTATGACAAAAAAATAAAAATCAACACAGGCTCTCACCTATTTGCATGGTATTTGTACAGTAAACAATTCAGATCCCGACTCTGGACCTCACACACATACAATAAGGAAACAAAGGCTTTATGCACATGGTATCACACAACGGAGACGAATTTCACGACAATTGAGTATTACTCGAATTTCTATAACTAAGACTATAAACTAACTTAAAAACTATGAGAAAACGATGGAATGAGGATAGAATAATAGATATTTAGATATATAGAAAAAGTAGAGTAGAGGGTACCCAAGATATTGTATTGCTCTGATGTCTTCCAGTGGGGGGGAACTGTGTTCTCGTCCGCTGATATATATATATAATTCTCGTCCAGAGTATACTCAGTTCTTCTCCGATTGGATAGACAATTTGTTGTCTTTCTGTTCTTCGTAATGGCAATCTTGAACTCTGCACTCACTGTCCGCTCACTCGAGTCCAAGTCAAGAATGACCATTATCTCCTCACCCCACATACCTCAGGATGCTCTCTCTTTGTTCTTCTCACTTCGTTCTCGGAACAGTGTTGTCCCCCCACCAATAAGGAAGTGAAGAATGGAAAGATCGAAGAATGGAAAGATCAAGAAATAGGGAAACAAAGAACACAAGATCGAATAATTAAAATTAGGCTTATGACTAGCATGTATATGCAAACTTATGGTGTACTGCCACAATAATATTAAATTTCCGGAAACATAGTCTTTCCAGAGACTTACCATATTTCTGTACATGTAAAAGCATGCTCATAGGTATGAAAATTTCTTATTTTTTCACTTTTGAAACATATGTCCTACACTGCTTATAAGATTATGCTCTTGTATACAAACTTGGCATGTAAGAACACTGTGCCATTGTGTCAACGTAAACATAAATGTACCTATACAATCAGTGACATCTCTGTGGTAACAAAAATTTATTAAAAATTTATATATTTAATTTAAGAAATATAAAATATTTGAGAAATATATAAAGGTAACCCCATATAACACGGCAATTCTATAGCACAGATTCACTCTAACATGGTTCAAGAATTGGGAACATCCCCCGTATAACACGGTGGTTTTATAGCATGGGTTCACTCTAACATGGTTCGGGAATTGGGTAAAACTCTCATACAACATGAAATGTAATAAAGGATCCGTTCTTTTATACTTCTGCATAACTACACATGAGCATTCTATTGTTTTCGTGGCTACTTTGAATGATCTTTCAACAATAATCTATTTAATGGTTAAATTTTACAATTGGGACCCTTCTTTTGCCTCTAAAAGCTCATTTTAGAATTATAGATTCCTCCATCACGATACTATCAATATTGCAGGCGCCACCATCTTTCTTTCACCATCGTTCCTAAATGCCTACAAACAGCAGCGCACTCCAGTTGCAGAGCGACCGCTATTAACGAATGCACCCAAAAACTGTTACCAGTTGATGATGATCATGCTGATATCATCATATAAGATGAATAATCCTCTGGTAAAATATTTACTTAAATAATAAATAAGTATTTTAAAACTATGAAAAAAATGAATAATAAATCCGATTTAAATAAGGATTTAACAACATGTTTTTTAATTTTTGGAACCTAACCCCCTTTTCACACTAGTTCTTTGTTTTGTATAACACGGATTCGCATAACACAGCAATTTTTTGGAATGTAACTCCCGTGTTATACGGGGGTTACCTGTAATTCTATCAAATGAGCCAGGCATTACTCAGGCAAAAAAGATTAAGATAACAACTGCAAAGATTAAGATTATTAGATTATTTTATACTTCTAACCCTTTTATTATATTATATTATAGTATTTGATTTATATTTACAAAGTTATCTTATGTAAGAGTTTATCACACCAAGTGACCAATCTAACACGTTTTAAAAATTCTTTAAATTGTGTACAGTAGAAGAATAAAGTTTTTTTAAGATAACCTAGTTAAATAAATAAAATACTATAATATAACAAACATTAAAATGAAAACCAAATGAAATAACCAAACTCATTTGGTTATTTCATTTGGTTCATTTGGTTATTTATGCCTACCATTGTCATATTTATTGCAATACTTAGATGGTACAAAATGGTGCAATTTCATTGGTCAAATAACCACCAATTGAAAATATATCTTAAATTTTTTCAGATAACCAATAACCTTATATTATGTAATTTTCTTATTCAAATGCCACCATACCGCTGGTCCAATAGAAAGAAGTGAGTGTTGCTGAAGAGGGTTGAAGTAATTAGATCAAAAGTAGTCATTTATAGTCAATGACTATTAATTAATACCGATCTACTATTAATATTTGAAAAGTGATCCGTGTTGGATAGGTTGTGATGGCCCCGCATGTGATCGAAGTTGTTAACTTTAATAGCTGAAAGATTTCATATGACTTGTTTAAATAAAAAAATCTTGTAAAAATGCAAGAATAATTCTTTTTATGTGATAATAGTGTTTAAATTTTGGCAACAAATTGTACAAACTACATGGGAAGTATGTTCTCATGGATATTGCATTTATAAAAAAATTATTGGGCTGAAATTTGAAAAAATTGTGGACATAAATTTCCAGTTCTCCCTCTGTCTGTCCTTCCTTAATGGAGTTAGACAGATGACCAGCACAACTCTATTGCTAACAGGAAGAGTATGATGTGCAGGAGAAAGACACCACTAAAAGAACTCAGAACATTCTGATGAAAAATAGCAGCCCAGCATTATGATAATGTCACAATTGCTCGTTAGAATTAGTTTGGTTTATTAGGTTATGGCAATGCAACATGTGAGTAATCTACCAAGTGGGATGCATCCTGGGAAGACTTTTATGTAAAACTGGCCCCTATTTAGGTTGTGAAGAAAACCCAGAAAACTGCATGTGGCCAGCCCATTGGCCATGCCCAAACCCATGACAAACTAACTACCAGTGTTCAGTGATTTTATCCACTTGGTTACTGGAGAGCACTTATTAAGAAAGTACTGTTCAGAAATGAAAAAACCCGAGTTATTAGATGTGGAAAATTAAGTACAGTAAACTCCCAATTATCCATGCGCGGATTATCTGGTTTGCGGATTATCCGTGCATGAATTTAATTTTTAAAAAATAATTATATGTGTATGTATTTTTTAAATAGCTGCTTGCTTTCATGTTTACACATCCTATAAGTGTGCAGGTGTTTGTATTTAGATGTTTGAAGCAGGTGGTGGGAGTATCTGAAGTCAGCTGGACTGATTTTAGTTAGGCCACTTCTTTCGCGCCATACATTTCTTTTCGGAGGAGAAAACAATAGTCAGTACATTTATACAAAGTTTCGTTTAGTTGCATGTTATAATACGTATTACAATTTAAGATTTGATTATATGTACTTATGTATAATACATATTATACATAATATTTTTTTCAAATAACTCTCCCACAAATACTTTTAATGTAAAATTACATAAAATAAGATTATTTTTTTAATTTTCAGATAAGTACCTTTAAAATTCCCAATAATCGAAAGAAAGTTGTACTTACTATAAAACAAAAACTAACGTTAATTGAAAAATTTGAAAAAGGTGAATCTACATGTTGTATTTTAGAAATAAATAATTATAGTTCAGATTATCCGTTTCTGGATTATCCGTGCCATCTCTCCTCACCATTAGCCCGGATAATCAGGAGTTTACTGTACTTATAGATTTTTTACAGGGTTACCATTTTGATTCCAAGCAGGCAAGTGCTACATGCTACCTGTCTCAGTAATGATATAGCATGCCTATTTTGCACTAAATTATTGTTGCTGTGTAACACTATCTAAGTTAGAAGTGTATGAATGTAACTGCCTAGTTTCATAACAATTGGTCAAATGACCTAGGAGTGAACAAACAAACATCCTCATATAAAGGATGTTTGTTTGTTCACTATACACTCCTAGTCCTAGGCCATTTGACCAATTGTTACAAAACTAGGCAGTTTTATATATACAGTAATACCCCAAACTTATGCGATAGGTGGGACCGAGCGATAACCGCGTAAGTCAAATTCGCGTAAGTCGGGGTATAATTTCGCAATTTGTGTAAACTCCAAGTCGGATGTATGTAAGCTAATAAATTTTCTTTTTAATCTTATCTCGTCTTTTGATTTGTTCACGGTTACAAGAAATCACCACATAGAGTCTCTCAAGTCTCCGTAGATATAACAAACACATAAACAAATAACACAAAATAAATTGTAGCTATGTGTCGATTCCGCACGACATGTCCGAACATGTAAGCTGAACAATAGTGTGGGGGAAGTGAGTAATCAAGGGTTGCGTGGCGCTCAAACAAAAGACGAATCGACGAGATTTGAAAATTGCATAACTCCGGGTTCACGTAAGTCGGGATAGCGTAAATCGAGGTATTACTGTATAGATTTAAGAAATTTATATACTTAAATTTTATAGAAAATAATAATATAGATTAAATAATTAAAATTTTCATTACCTTAATATACAGATATTCCCATTCAAGAGTAATGAAATTTAATTGATAAACTTCTAAAAATTCAGAACTGAGATTCTTTAAAAATCCTCCACATATATACATATAATCATCAGTAACACAGGCAGTATGACCATCTCTAGAAGGTGGAATTTTTCCTCTGGTTTTAAGACATGACCAAGAAAAATCATCTGTAAAGATCCATTCAATGTGTTAAATAAAAATTAAATGTACAATTTTAATTAGTCATTTAAATGATTTGAATAAATTGAATAATCATTGAAATGTACCATTCAGACCTATAAAATTGCTTACATATTTAAAACTTATTTATTAACTTAATATACAAGTATCACTTTCATCAGGACTCTTGAAGCTGTAGAAATCTACAAAGCAAATCTGACAAGCAGTTTCATTAAAGATTAAAAAAGCATCTTACATGTTTTTATGAAAAACCAGGCAATATCAACATAAGTTAGTTAATATTATTTTTGTGGTATATTTATATATAATCATTTCTTATATTTNTCGGAGGAGAAAACAATAGTCAGTACATTTATACAAAGTTTCGTTTAGTTGCATGTTATAATACGTATTACAATTTAAGATTTGATTATATGTACTTATGTATAATACATATTATACATAATATTTTTTTCAAATAACTCTCCCACAAATACTTTTAATGTAAAATTACATAAAATAAGATTATTTTTTTAATTTTCAGATAAGTACCTTTAAAATTCCCAATAATCGAAAGAAAGTTGTACTTACTATAAAACAAAAACTAACGTTAATTGAAAAATTTGAAAAAGGTGAATCTACATGTTGTATTTTAGAAATAAATAATTATAGTTCAGATTATCCGTTTCTGGATTATCCGTGCCATCTCTCCTCACCATTAGCCCGGATAATCAGGAGTTTACTGTACTTATAGATTTTTTACAGGGTTACCATTTTGATTCCAAGCAGGCAAGTGCTACATGCTACCTGTCTCAGTAATGATATAGCATGCCTATTTTGCACTAAATTATTGTTGCTGTGTAACACTATCTAAGTTAGAAGTGTATGAATGTAACTGCCTAGTTTCATAACAATTGGTCAAATGACCTAGGAGTGAACAAACAAACATCCTCATATAAAGGATGTTTGTTTGTTCACTATACACTCCTAGTCCTAGGCCATTTGACCAATTGTTACAAAACTAGGCAGTTTTATATATACAGTAATACCCCAAACTTATGCGATAGGTGGGACCGAGCGATAACCGCGTAAGTCAAATTCGCGTAAGTCGGGGTATAATTTCGCAATTTGTGTAAACTCCAAGTCGGATGTATGTAAGCTAATAAATTTTCTTTTTAATCTTATCTCGTCTTTTGATTTGTTCACGGTTACAAGAAATCACCACATAGAGTCTCTCAAGTCTCCGTAGATATAACAAACACATAAACAAATAACACAAAATAAATTGTAGCTATGTGTCGATTCCGCACGACATGTCCGAACATGTAAGCTGAACAATAGTGTGGGGGAAGTGAGTAATCAAGGGTTGCGTGGCGCTCAAACAAAAGACGAATCGACGAGATTTGAAAATTGCATAACTCCGGGTTCACGTAAGTCGGGATAGCGTAAATCGAGGTATTACTGTATAGATTTAAGAAATTTATATACTTAAATTTTATAGAAAATAATAATATAGATTAAATAATTAAAATTTTCATTACCTTAATATACAGATATTCCCATTCAAGAGTAATGAAATTTAATTGATAAACTTCTAAAAATTCAGAACTGAGATTCTTTAAAAATCCTCCACATATATACATATAATCATCAGTAACACAGGCAGTATGACCATCTCTAGAAGGTGGAATTTTTCCTCTGGTTTTAAGACATGACCAAGAAAAATCATCTGTAAAGATCCATTCAATGTGTTAAATAAAAATTAAATGTACAATTTTAATTAGTCATTTAAATGATTTGAATAAATTGAATAATCATTGAAATGTACCATTCAGACCTATAAAATTGCTTACATATTTAAAACTTATTTATTAACTTAATATACAAGTATCACTTTCATCAGGACTCTTGAAGCTGTAGAAATCTACAAAGCAAATCTGACAAGCAGTTTCATTAAAGATTAAAAAAGCATCTTACATGTTTTTATGAAAAACCAGGCAATATCAACATAAGTTAGTTAATATTATTTTTGTGGTATATTTATATATAATCATTTCTTATATTTATATCTGTTTTAATTTTATACATCTTAATAGAAAACCAAATCTTTATTATTATTTATATTTTATAACTTTATATTTTACTCCAATATTTTAAAAAATTTTGAAATTAGTTCTGTTCATCTTAATTTAGAATGTTGTTGACCTGAAGATGGATTTTGCGTAAGATCAAGAACATCTGTCAAATTTACATTAAATTATTTACTGGATTTTTGAGGTTTCGATTGGTGTACTTACAAGGAGAATATTGCTACATGCAAGTCATGTAATACTTAGTACTAACATTTATTTGGTAGTTAAACACATGCTATTTACCTATCTAAGAAGGTATTTCTCTATGGCCAATATTTCTATTTTTTTCATAAGAAAGTAAAACACAGACTATTTGATGTGCAGAATGAAGGTGTAAGGCTGATTAGTAGTGATGTCATTGCATTATGACAAAATGTGCTGGGATCTCTGAGCCGTGCAATTGCTACTTGAGCACTACTTTTCTATTAAAATGATGTCAGATACAAGAAAAGCAAGGAAAAAATTTAGAATATAGTATAAAAAACAGTGCAAGTAAAATACTTTTAGTATTAGTATCAATAAATCATTATTTCAAATGTATACCCCTACAGAAGATAACTGTAGTAAACAATCCTTTAATCAATGTTTTTCATAAATAAGAAGCTATATGTAAAACTCAAAGTTGGTTCATTACTAGAAATAGCTTCCATTAATTCAAAAGTGGAAATAAAAGAAATAATCTAGATAAGAAAAGACACAAATACAAGTAAAAAAATTATGTGTAAATAAACAAGTAAAATTAAAATAACTTATGTGTTACATATTACTTAAAAACAATAAAGTACACTAAATATATCTGTATTTTAAACAATAATGATAATACAATTATTTTTCTTTTTCAATTACAACATGTTATGTTTATTGTCTCGGGGTTACAACCAAAGTGAGCGCTCAGGTACCGTTACCGTGATGCATCAGCAACGATCGCCACCTGGCGGACTCACTAATATTTTACATTTTAACATTTCCAATACAATACATATTACATCTCCCTTTCTTACACAAAGTTTTTGAAACGCGATGGCCTAGGATCACCCGGCCTGATCGAGTTGTCAAGTCTGTAGCCTCATTTCCGCTCACCTCCTGATTTTCCAACTGCTCATTCTCTGTGTCCTTTTCCTCTCTACCACTGAAGTTCTCTCTACCGCTATCCATGTTTTCCTTTTGTTCACTGGCCTGTTCATCCTCAATTGGTTGATCCAACAATTCGCCTGAATGATTCTGTATGTTTCTAAATCTATTCACATCGAACTTCCTTAAAAATCTTCGGTTACGAATGAAGTATTTACCATCTTTGTCTATGCGCACAATATAAGATCTTGGTCGATATCTGTCTATTTTTATTATTTCACCAGGCTCCCAGTTTCTTTTATCAATTTGGATCATCACTCGGTCATGTGGATTTAATGCTGTTAGGTCTCTAGCATTTCTATCGAAATAGTGTTTCTGTACTTGTTGTCTTTGCAAATGGTTTTTTCTAAATTTGTCTACAACTATTCTGGGTTTCAAGAGATTATTCCTTGTGGGCACTTGCCCTCGCAACCTACGACCATAAAGAAGTTGTGCTGGGGATGGAATACCTCGACCTAAAGGTGTATTTCTGTATTCCAACAAGGTCAGATAAATGTCCTTTGAGTCATAGACTGCTTTCTTAAGTAATTTTTTGATAGTCTGCACATGCCGTTCAATAAAACCATTAGACTGAGGGTTTCGTGGAGAGCTTGTCTTATGTGTTATTTCCCAGTGTTCTAGAAATTGTTGAAAATGTTTGTTTACAAACTGGGTATCATTACCTGAGTATATAATTTCTGGCTTGCCATGTCTGGAAAATATCGATTTCATAGCTTCAACTATTCTGGAATGAGTGGTGTTCTGATTCATACAATAAACTTCTGGGAATCGTGAAAATGTATCTACTACTAGTAGATAGTCTTTACCAAATAAATGACAGATATCAGTTGTGACAATTTCCCACGGTCTTGTGGACAGTTCTCTGTTAATAAGCGTTTCTTTCGGATTTGAATTTTGATACTTTAGACATGCTGGACAGTTCCTGACAACATCAATTATTTCTTTTTCCATGAACGGCCAAAAGACATGTTCTTTTGCTCTCCATAATGTTTTACTGATTCCCATGTGATTATAATGTAGTCTATCAATTGTCTCTGCTCTCATGCTCTTGGGAATAACTATTTGTTCACCTTTACATACTATGCCTCTCACCTCACTCAGGTCTTCACGAAACTTCCAATATGGTTTGACTAGTGGATCTATCATGTTTTTCTGTTCTGGCCAACCTTCCTTTATTATATTAATCAGTGACTGTAACTCTTTATCTCTTTTTGTTTCATGCCGAAGTTTTTCAAATTTCTTTGGAGTAATGCTACAGTAATTGATAAGGTTAACTTGAGCTTCAACATCAGATTCCATCACATCAAAATTCTTGTCCACATAGCTAGCTCGAGAAAGGGCATCAGCCAACACAAGTTGTGATCCTGGTCTGTATTTTACTCTAAAGTTATAATTTTGTAAGGTTATCCTTAATCTCTGAAGGCGTAGTGGACATTTATTTAGTGGCTTTTGAAAAATTGCCTCTAACGGTTTATGGTCACTCTCAACTATAATTTCACGACCATACACATACTGGTGAAAACACTGGCAGCCAAACACTATTGCCAGTGCTTCTTTTTCAATTTGCGCATAATTTTTCTGGGTCTCTGTGAGTGTCTTTGATGCATAAGCCACCGGAGCACCTTCCTGAAGTAGTACAGCTCCCATTCCATCTTTTGAACTATCTACTGAGAGTACTAGTGGTTTATCTTTATCATAAAATTGTAAGACTGGGGTGCTGCTCAAAAGATTCTTTAGCTTCAAAAATTCCTTATCATATTGCTCAGTCCATTGCCACAAACAATCCTTAATTTTGCAGTATGACTAGCTAAATTCGGTATAAATTTTGCCACATAAGTTATCATGCCCATGAATCGACTAAGTTCTTTTGAACCTGTTGGCTTTGGGATGCATTTGATTGACTCAACTTTATCTGGATCAATTCTAATACCATCTTCTGACAAGATGTGTCCCACATATTTGACTTCCTTTAGTTTAAATTTGCACTTATCCTTATTGAACCTAATCCCCTTTTCTTCAGCTGTCTTCAGAACCAATTCTAAGATTCTATCATGTTCTTCTGAGTCCTTTGCATGAATGATAAGATCATCAATGTAAATCTTGACTTCTTTGACATGAGCAAAAATTTCTGTAAACATTTTGTGAAAGATCTCAGGAGCATTAGTCAATCCAAAGGGTAGTTGCAGAAATCTATATCTCCCAAAAGGTGCACTAAAGGTTGTTAATTTTGATGAGCTATCTGCCAGTTCAATCTGCCAAAATCCCTTGTTTGCATCTAGGATAGAGAAAAATTTGGAACCTGCCATATCCCTTGTGATTTCCTCAAAGGTCGGTATTTCAAAATGTTCTCTCATTATCGAGTGATTCAAATTCTGTGGATCTAAACATATTCTCAGGGATCCATCAGGTTTGCGAACTAGAACAATTGGGTTTACAAACTCGGTCGGTTCATCTATGCTGCATATGATTCCATCATTTATCATTCTCGTTAATTCTTTCTTTAATGGATTCATTAAGTTAAATGGTACTCGACGTGTAGGAACTACCACAGCCTTGTAGTCATCCTTTAATTTAAATTCACAGGGTTTTATTTTGATCCTGCCTATGCCTTCAAATACATTCCTGTATTTAGTAAAATAGTCACTTTCCATTTTTATTTCTAAAATATTTTGATTTCTCTGTAGTAAATTTAGTTTTTGAATACTCTCGAGTCCTAAAATAGGTGCTGCTTGGTCAGTTGTCTTGACTATTATAAAATTCAAAAGTTCCTTAACTTTATCCTTAGTTCGTACTGTTAAATCACACGCTCCTAGCACCTTTAATCTATTTCCACCGTAATTTTAAATTGTAATATTCGTTTTCTTTAGCAGTCTTCTTAGATTAAGAGTCTCAAAAATATATGCAGGGATTACATTAACATGTGCACCAGTATCTATCTTAAAACTAACACTTTTATCACAATCTAAAATTCTTAAAGTCTCTGACCAGTCTAGATCAAGGTTCTTACCTCTGCTTTCCAGTGAAGCCAATACATAGTCGTTTGTACTCTCTGGCGCCATTTCCAGTACATTTATCATGTTATTTCGACACACTTTTGCAAAATGATTGTATTCCTTGCATTTATTACACTGTTTGCCCATTGCCGGACAGTTCGGTTGATTATGTCTGTAACCACATCTCCCGCAATTCCGTTGTCTTCCTTGGAACTTATTTTCCGGTCTTTGATATGCACGACAATTGTTCTGTGTTCGATGGTTCTTTGTTTCTGCACGCGACCTATTTTCCTGATCACGTGATTCATTGAGACGTTCTCTTGATTTTCCTTTTATCACGTTGACTTCTATATTCTTTGGTTGATTCAACAAGAGTTTAATGTGACTCTCTGTCTGTTCGGCGGCTCTGCATATGTCGATTGCCTTTGTTAATGATAGCTCCGTTTCTCGCAGTAGACGTTCTTTTACCTTCTGATCACGAATACCACTCACAATTCTATCTCTTAATAATCGATCTCGTAAATTCCCAAATTCACAATTTATCGATAGCTTACGTAAGTCTGCTAAAAAATCGTCAAAGACTTCGCTCGGTCCTTGCACACGAGTGTTGAACTTGTGACTCTCAACACTTTGGTTGCTTTTCGGAATAAAATACAACTCGAGTTTTTCTAGAATTACATTGGGCTGTTTCGCTTCTTCCTCACTAAGTTCTAATGTTTCAAAAATTTCTAGTGCTTCTTCTCCCAAACAATGGAGCAAGATGGCGGCTTGAGTTTCATTGTTCTTCGTCGTGAGTTCGGTCGCCGTCGAATAAAGTAGGTAACTTTTCTTAAATTTCTTCCAATTCGCTCCTAAGTCACCTTCTACCAACATCGGTTTTGGAGGAGGAAGATTTTGAAACGTGGACATGTTGAATCCAGTACGGGAGAATCTTTCGTCTTTCTCTAAACATTTGTCGACTGCGCCATGTTATGTTTATTGTCTCGAGGTTACAACCAAAGTGAGCGCTCAGGTACCGTTCCCATGATGCATAAGCAACGATCGCCACCTGGCGGACTCACTAATATTTTACATTTTAACATTTTAATACAATACATATTACAAAGTCTTTATGATATATCCTGTATGATAAGTCCTTAAATTATCAATGTACTACATGATTTAGAAACACTTGCATACTCTGGCCTTGGGTCACCTATTTCTAAATGTGCCACTGTTGGCATGTTTCATTTTGAACATATTTTAATCCTTTTTCTCTTTATTTCACTAGATAAATCAGTTTTATTCATTTTATTAGCAAAATCACTTTAATGTTACTTTACAGGTATAAGAATAATGATTCAGAACAAGAGACAAGGCATGTTGTCTTTAGTCATGGTTCTTGTCCATGACAATGCACACCCATATACAACCACACACATATAGGCATTGCTCCAACAGTTTCAATGGGAGTTATTTCATCACCCTGCCTAGAGTCCCAACTTATACCAAATGACTTTCATTTGGTCCCAAAAAGAAAGTATGGTTGGGGATGCACCAATTTAAATCCAGTGAGGAACTAATGCATGGCATTCATGGATGGTTGAACTATCAGGTGGCAAACTTCTTTGATGAGGGAATACAGAAAATGATGTCACATTACATCAAATGCCTGATTTTCAGTAGAACTTATGTTGAGATGTAGCTAAGATACGTACATACCTTTTGTATAAAAACATATAGTTTGTCTTTATTCTTATGTTTTTCATTGCCTACCAGAGGTTAATTTCTAAATAGTCCTCATACAGTGAACTATAAATTTGAAGTCATTAGTATGCAAATACTTAAAATAATAAGTTTAACAATGACAAGTCATACATATCTGACGTAGTAGATCAAAACAAAGTTAATGAATGATGTGTATTAGCAGTATGAATGTTCTCTCAAAAAAAAATGCTAAAAAGTTGTGAAAAATACTAATTTCTCATATTTATATTATATAATTTTGTATCTTCATATTAATTAATATTTTACCCTCAGGTAATGCAACTACTTCTATTTTCTTTGGATTTTCTGAATTAATAAGTCAAAATCTGTTGTAGGTAGTTACAGATAACTTGGATTACATAATGTTCTCAAATAGAACAGAACTTTGTTTCATTTGAAACATAACTATGCATAAAACAGTTCTTAAACCATTAAATCTAACCTTAGAACAGTGTAATAGAATAATGTAGTATTTAACAATTATTAAATAATACATTAAAAAAATAGTCTAATTACCAAGTCATTTGTTTTGTACTCTGCAACTTTTTGTTTATCTTCTCTAAGCACATCTGGTTTGAAGGAAACTCTGAACCTGTTATCTTGAAAAAATAATTATTATTTTTATTGAACATTTCAAATCAATATATATAAATATTGTACAGAAAAATTTAATAAAGTACAGTATACAAAAAGTTTAAAAATTACATTGGATGGGACTTGACATTTTGATAACAAGTTGCTGTTTAGTTGGCCAGTCACATTTAATATTTTTATCTAGGCTTTCCAATGTTTCCTCAGTTAGTACATCTGAGCAAGTTTTAAGTTCACATACATCAACTGGTCGATCAAAAGTGATTATTATTGCAGTTTCTAAAAAAATTAGATTAAACTTATGTGAGATCCGAGGTTTTTTAGGCATAAAATTTTATAAGAAATATATTAATTATCTAAAATAATATTCACAAGGGAGGAAGTGACATCCATCAATTGGAAGAAAGAAGGAAATCAACTTCCTTTCCCACAGGGTTTATCACTATTTCATATAGCCTTATGTCAGTTTACCCGCTTTACACTCGTTATATATCCCGTGCGTTCTTTAGATGCTATTGGGCAGAGGTCCCAATAAAAGGGGAATTTTCCTGCCATTCCAGGCAGTTCATCAAAGATAGAACGTGCCATATGACTTGCAGCAGTTGAAGGAAGTGCAACCTGCCATAGAAGGCTATATGCTGCCAAAGAAAAGTCTTCCCACCAAACTTAATATAATGTGCGCATAGAAATTTGTTCCATCCATTCACATTCTCCTCCCGATCTTCTCCCAACCTGATGAGTTCCAACATCTATCAAAGGACAAAAGACTCCTTAAGTAAGGTAGTACAACTTAATGTATATGTAAACTCTCTCCCTCGTGATTAGAGTAGTTATAAGAAATTAGAGATCTATTTTATTGTATTCAATACTTTTGACTTTATTAAATTCTTGTTACTGTTTTAACATGGTCTCATCCTTGTCTCAAATCTGAGCCTATCTCTGCTCCACTTACTCGTGACCCTCCCACTCGAAATTCCTCTCAAAAGAATACGAGCATGCCTAATGCTATATCTAGGCTGGTGTCAGGAAAAACAAACTTGCAGGGATTTTTCACAAACTTCTGCTCTTCTAACAAGGTCTTAGGAAGCCATCCTTTGACTCTGCGGGTCAATCTTACTGATTGCACTGCCGAATAAGTGGTATAAAGACTATCCCAGACTCTCTACCCATGGCTAGCCCCTCACACTTATATATAGAAAACACATCAGATACTTTTTGTTTTGTATTTTTAATAAATTAAGTTATACAAAATCTGAAAAAATTTTTTTTTCTTCTAATAAAACTGAATGAAAACAAATCCAGAATAATTAATGTTAAACCAACTCCAAGTTCTTTAAAAAATAAAAACAAACTTTTTGCTGGAGTTCATCTTTACTTAAAAGACTCTCTAGCACTTTACTCTCTAGAGATCATGAGGGAGAGAGTTTACATATACATTAAGTTGTACTACCTTACTTAAGGAATCTTCTTTGTCCTTTGGTAGATGTTGGAACTCATCAGGTTGGGAGAAAATTTAAATCCAAAATACTCTAAATTTTCAAAGAACAGTTTAATTTATTGAAATTTAAAAATAAAAATAATAGAAAATCCTACGGATGTATAATTTTAAACTATATTTGTATAGTAACAATTTATTGGATAACCTTTTCAATTTTCTGATGATATAAAATAAATAATAATAAAATATAAATAAATCTTACTATCTTCAGACATTGAAGTTCCTTGTGCAAATTGAAGCTGTGGTGAAACAAAACTAAAGGGAAATTGCTCATTTAATTCATGAATTCCATTAAATGATGGAACAATAGTCACATTTTGAGATGTTTTAGGTAAAGGTATTTCACACCAATATTTTCCACCAGTTATTTTTTTTAACGATTTTGGCCAATCTAAAATAAAAATTATAAAATTAAATATATTTTCTTATTGTTTTGTGATCATTAATAAAAATCTATTTAATTATCACTTTTAATATACAGATAATTGCAAATTAATATAACACTTGATAATTCTAAAATAAAATAAAAAATAAAATTACAGCAAATTTTACTTTAATTTTATTTTGTTTTAATATTAATGAATACTATATTTTTTTATTGTTATTTTTATTAACAAGAAATTTATTGTCTGCTAATTTGTGGAGTGTAGGTCTATTTTCATTGTTACTTTTGACTTAATAGAAGTGTTTTATTAAGTGAACTGATAATTGAAAATGTATCAAGCAGAACTGAGTGTGTAGTCTTGTTTAAGAAACCGACAATTGGACTATATATATAAAGTTAACTACATATGTATAGTTCAATTGCATATCATTTGAATTATTCAAACGATTATAGGTAAAATTTAATTCTATAAGAATATGTAACCCTATGTCACTGACCTATGCACCAGGTGCCACTTGCAGAAGGGCACCCAAATGGTCTCCAAAAACAAACTATATCTGTTTCTGGGAGGGGGAGAGGGGTGCCAATAAAGTGTCATGCCCCAGGCGCCAGTTATGTTCACTATGCCACTGCCCTATGTGGCTGTACACCATATTGTATGTTTTTGTCCTTTTGTTCTTTGTTCACTTTTTCCTGCTCCTTGTTCTTTCTCCCTTCTAAACTTTCTAATTCTCTTAATTCTTCTTTCTTGGAGACAAAGGTCACTTCCTAGAATTTACCAACATATTATATACAAGTTTACCTGGGGGTATATGATGTAAAGGAGGTCACTTTTGAGCTGGTGCTCAAAAAGAGAGACAACAAACAGTGTTCGGTATCCAAGTAGACAGGTGAAGTCAGAACTTAGAGTGGGAACTTTGAAATCCCCAGGCTGAAGTTAGTGTGTTAGAGTTGGCATTTCAGTTTGACAAGTCCAAATGTGTGACTGCTATTATCAAATATGCAAAAACTTTCGATAACCAAAGAAAGGGAAGACAAAAGCAAGAATTTTGTGTTTAAGAAGCTACCACATGGCCCCTCACAGTAACCAAATGACATTTGCACTAACTGGATATTCTTTCCTAATCTATCCACAATCTTCACAATTTCTCACTTCCTACCTTCTATTTACTTTATAAGTATAAATTAGTAATAAGAGTTTGTTTCAAGAAAATTATTTTTGTGTATTGTATTGGATTCTGTGTGTTGTGGTCATTTTTTTGTTTTGAATTTTCACCGATGGTTGGGTCTAAGGTTTCTGCTGGAGAAACCATTCTAAAGCTGTCATCCTTGATTGAACCTATAAATAATTATATCATATGTATATAAATTAATTTTCCTACATCTACTGCATGTTTGGTTTGTTGAATGTTTGTCTTAGTGAGCTAACAAAATCTCTATCATATATATCTCACAACTATAATTTTGATGTATAAATTTTATGCTATCTATTAATAACTTTAATTATAAATAATTAAATTTTAAAAAAGTAATTTTTTTTAAATATTTGAGAAAGTATCTCAAAACAAAACTCTAAGGATCATTTTTATAAATAATAATGTTATATTTTGATATTTGATTTTTTCCTTATAAATCAAATACAGATACTTAAAAACTATCTTTATTCCTTTTCCAAATATTTTGTGATTTTTATTCAGCATATTCTGAAATGTATGTAAATGCCAAATAAATTCAATTCAATTTTTTCTGTATATGTGTAATTTAGATCAAGAGTTTTTTAGTTTACAACTCTATTTAGATAGATATTTTAAGCTTAATTAAAAATGATCAAAATTATGATATAAAAATATTTATTTGCAAAAATATATTTACAATAATATTTAACTTATTATTTAATATGGATAAATATTACACATACATTTATGTAGGTATTAGAAATTGATCAGAAATTAGATGATAGTTAGAAATTAAAATAAAATTACCTTTTCCATTAATAAAACATATTATAGGCCTATCTGGAAAATAATTTCCTTGAAAATTCACAGTTACTTTCTCAGCTTCATTGTTATAAGGAATACTAATTGGTGACATGCTTGTTACTTCAACTAAAATACATTAAATATGTTTTAAATATTCAGTTTGAAAATTAATAATATAAATTAAAGTATTAAAGTAATTAAAAAATTTTTGTTATATAATAATATAAGGAAGCTAGTATAGCTCAAGAATATTGCATCAGTCTAATCAAACATAATAGTGTAAGTTTATGTTGCAACGATGTTAGGTTACTTCAGTACTTGCTTTCAACTGGCTCTGTAGATACATTCAACTTTATTTTTCCAATGAATATTTAAAGGTTTTGAGTGATAAAACTAGATCTTATTTTATTTTTACTTATTATTTCTTTAACTTTTAGATTTGGGAATACTGTTTGTTACAGAAAAAGACTTTACATTCCTGTCAAAACTAACTTAAATTCTAACTTATCAGAGACATCTTTGGAATATATTGTCACTCAGATGTATTACGGATCATATGAATTTTGTATATTAAATATAATTTTTTTTTACAGTTTAGCAACATAAGAATTGAGTATGTTATAACAAATTTATAGATAAATGATAGTAAATTTTATTATTACTAGTATCACTTTCCTATTAAAACAATGCAAGTAAATGTAAATGGATAGGTGACTATTAGGAGACAAATGAATGAAATGATAAGATGATGTCAAGTTCCTAATCACAGTGATTATGACAAAGTTTTGATTTGAGTTACAAAGGTTCAAAATAAAAGAGTTCTTGTAAGGCTATTCTTTTGTACTGACTTATGGAAGTCAAAATCATAAGTTTAAAATTAAGACTATTAACCTAACCTAACTTTAAAATTAAAAGTAATTTTGTTTTCTGACAAAGTTTTGACTTTACTTTTGTGTTAATAAAAGTTCTTTGGTAATTGTTTTGTTACTAATACAACAACCAAAGTCAAATATTATCGAGCCAGAAACGGCTAAATTACTAATAATTTAATAAACAATTTGGCATTAGAGTTAGGCATTAGGTGCCATCTCTTGATAAATATCGAGTCTAGTAAGGATGTTTGATTACTAATACAATTTGGAATTTTTCTCTAACCCCTTTTGTTCAGATTTTTATTGTTGATTTTTACAAATGACATTTAGGTTTTTCAGGTCAGCTAACTTGGAAATGGAATTTATAAATTAGATATTTGATTTGTTCTTTGTCAAATAATAATTTTATATATTGAATTATTTATGTAGAACATTGCATAGCAACTAGCATTTAATATTCTTCAACATCTAAATGAAAATTCATTGTTTCCTAATATAGAAAGTCCAAATCTGGCATATATTTTTTTTTTCATAGCAACCCTATATCACTTCTAATTTTAAGTATTTTGAGAATTTGTGATTTTTACCATGACCTTGCAGGGTGATTCCAAGAATAAAAATTGATAAAATTTTCTGGTAGCTAAATCATTCTTTCTTATTCAATGATTGAGAACTAACTTAATTTATCTAAACACTCACAAATCTATATGGATCAGAAAATCAAGCTTTGTCTTCTGCTTTAAATAAAAGAGGCAGAATAGCAGATTAACTGTATTTTTTCTCATAACTTTCTCTTAGTAAAATTTTTTGAAGATACTATCTTTTAAGAGCTGCGAATTTAGAATATAATGACAACAACAAATTAAGTATAGCTATTAATATACAATTTCTAGCATTTATATTTTCTTAATTAATTATTTTCTCTTTTCTTATGATTTAAAAATTATTCATTATCATCTATTCACTGAAAAACAGAAATTTTTTTATAATTACACTTGAATGTAGTTATAAATTTAAACAAACAAGGTTAATTATTCTTGTTTTGAATTCATTATCTAAATCATATATGGACTAAAAGGCACTACTTTTTGTCTTAAAATAGAAAACTGACATTAAAGATGGAACAGATCAGCTGAAAACTTGAATGTAAGCATAAGCACATCATGTTAAAAGTAATACAAAACAATCAATATTATACATACATATATGTATATTTTAAAAATTTATCATACTTACTGATATCCTTATCATAAACAATCAATGTATTATCTGCAAATAAAGGCTCTCTTTCATCGCTTATATTGACTCCAATATAATAAGTTCCTATAAATAATAATAATAATAATAATATATAATTAGATTAATAAATATATTAAAATTAAACAAAATACCTTGTACAATGTATTTAAATCAAAGATATAATCAAACAAAACAATTTACATATAAAAGAACAATATCTTCATATAAAATTTATAATAAGTAGATATACTAGAAAAACGTTAAAACATTAACTACATACTGTATTTAATATTTTATATTAAAAAATATTTATATGTAAAATAAATAATACAATCCTTTACATTTAAAATAAGTAGAAGTTTCTTAACAATGAAATGACAAGATAACATGAAGACTAAGAGGAGTAGGTAAAGGAGGCATACTTTGTTTTAAACAGTGGAGAGAACTGAAACCAATTCTGCTGGTAATGCTGGATGAATTGCTGCTATTACTGTATTTAATATAACTATTGAATCTTTAAATTATAGATTTTATTTAATTGTTTTAACACATGCTTATTATGTCAGTCAATAAAACCAGAATTTTCACTAACTGTAGTCTTATTTACTTATTCTATTTAATGTTCAATTGTTGTTATTACCAATTTAGATGATTTCCAAAGTGATTACAAAAAGTGGATTCTGCTGTCAGAGTCATTGAGAGGGAAGAGCTGGGGATATTTTCCTAGATCCAGAAAATATTTAGGGGCTCTTAATGATTCCTACTCCTGTAAATTACAGCAATAATATTGTAGTGCTCTGCAACTATATGTATGTATTATTGTTTGTTCTGTCTGTATCAGGTCTTAATTGTTGTGTTAATAAGTGTTACTGGTTATCATGTATTGCCCTTTATGGTTCGTACATCTTGCATGCGCTTATTGGCTAACGAGAAGTTATGTGTGCACCTGAATCCCCAGATGGAAAGAGAGTTTACAAAGGAGGTAAGGCAAGCAAAAGGGGATTTTTTTCTTGGTTATTTTCATCTGGAAAGGAGAAGTGCTGGATCTCTCAGTCAAGTAAGAGACAAAGGAAAGGCTGTAGTAGACTGGCGAATGGAATTACAGGAAACAAAAAAAAAAAAAAAAAGAATAATAAAGGGATTTCCCGATCACATCGACATATAAACGTGGGGAAAGTGGACTAAGATATATAACATACCAAACCTAGTAAGTGGTGAAGGACTACAAAACCTTATTCTTGTATGAGGACATTTGTCTCAACACGTGGTTACTTTGCCTTTGTTAATGGAGTAAGAGAGAGATAGTTAGCCTCTTTTCTAACAAGTGTTCGTGAGTGATCAGAAAAGGGTATCATCTGTAAATATCATTGTAAATTCATCATTGTACATTAGTTAAGTTTTAGGTTAAGTCGGTGGCTCACATATTCAACTAGGTTAAGTTAATTTATAAATAAGATTATGCTAACCCTTTTTACTTGTGAAGTCCTCAAATTATTCTTATCCCAATCTTAAGTTGGGATTTGTTTCGACAGTCTTATATTTTTACTAACAAAAAATAAAGACTTTTAAATATTTTTACTAACTAAAAAATATTGTCAAATATTTTTACTAACAAAAAATAAAGACTTTTAAATACTGCTTTTTATTAATAAAGAAACATTTTACATATTTCTCTTGTTTAAAAAATAAAAATAAAAAATGAAAAAAGGCCTGCTAAGGGGACAAAAGAGACCCCACTCTACTTCAATCCCTATACAAATGCTCAACCTCTAAACAGCTCTGTATATAACACTTCTTAATATAATAAACTAAAAGTGTATATAAAAAATTATTTAAAATAATTACCTGCTGATAGCTTTGTATTACAAACAACAGAAGTCTCTTTAATTTTTCCAAGTGTACTCTCTTCTGTATTAGTTTCTGATGATTTAAACAAACAAAATATATCTTTTTTCTTACCCATAAAAGCACCAAATACATTTATCTATAAAAAATATTTTAAAGATTACTCATAAATTTTCAAAATTTCATGATGTATATATTTTTTATAAGCTACAAAATAATATGAAAAACTATGAATATATCATCAAGAACAGTTCTGAGTATTAGCTAAGGAATTTTCCAAGATTTTTGCCACAGATTAAGATATAATTAATGGAGACCTATCATTTTGAAGAACTGCATTCATGTTTGGAGACATCTTGTGTTTTTGTAAATGTTTCAAAAAACTTTCCAAACTGGACTCTTTTAAAAACATGACTTACAAACAGTCATGTTTTTAAAAGAGTCCAGTTTGCATATTTTCCACCTGTATAATATTTCTAATATACTGAATTATACTCTAAGCAAATGTTTTTGGCTCCATTTAGGGCCCATTTCAGACTTACATCAGAAGAAAAAATTTAGCAATGATATACCTAACTTTCCTGGCTGTTATGAGATTTTATTTAAAAAATAACTTTTATATTATTAATCATAATACATTAATTAAATTGTGTGTGTGTCATCTGTTATGAACTTTTGTTATAAAATCTTTTTATATTATTAATTATTATAAAATGGCAAAAGGCTTAATTTTGGGGGTAGGGCTGAGTTTAATAAAAAAAATTGTAAATGCTAATAACCAGTAAAATTTTCATTAAGTCTGACCTTTCTTGAGATACGACACATGACCTCGTTCTATCTCCCCACCCTCTTGACTTTTAACTACCAAAATTTAATAGCAAGCTTGCTTTCATTTTTTGGTATACAAGAAACATTTTATAGCTAAAGTTGGAAAAGTATGCAAGACTGTTTGTAAGTCATTTTTATTAATAATTCCAGATTCAATAAAACTTAGTGAATCATAAAAACCTATTATTCTTTAAAGCTGTAACTGCTATACAACTTCATAACAAACTGACCTTTCAATACATTTCCAGTAATGCCATCAATATAAATAAAAAGCAAACGTTTTTGCCTTCATTCAGGGACCATTATCAGTCTTTTATAGAAGATTTATGGTAGAACTTTTGGAATCTGAGACAATTTTTGAAAAAACAACATTCTGTTCTTCTTTTCCAGCAAATAATTTTAATAAACAGACAAATGTTTTCAGCTTAATTTATAGGCCAACATCAGGTCTAACTAATACAATAGCATCAATTCCTTACAACGTTTTTGAAAGGCCAAGGAGTTCCATGACAAAATTTACAAATTTAAAATTTAAGATTTTAATGTTAAAAATTACACAAACTATATACAAACATCATAATAATTCTATGTACGGTTCAATAATAAAAATCATATTTGGCTACTTTTTTGGCTACTTTTATTTGGCATATTTGGCTACTATATTTAAGCCTCATCTGTAAAAAGACTGCTAAGCTGCTGACAATGATTCATAATCCTTCTAATTGATGCAGTAACCATTCCTTGTCACTTTGAATATCTCCAGTATTTCTAAAGTTCTTATATAGTCATTGTTAAAGTCGTGCTTAATCAATTCTTCCTCGAGATTTGCTTTTACTCCCAGTTTTGTGGCATAAATGGCTAGTGATCACCTTATTTTTTTCAATATTGCATCTATATTCTTTTACGCTACTGAACAATGATCTATTTGTAGAGCCAATGTATATCAAATCACATCCAAATCTTTCACCTGTGACTGGGATATAATAAACTCTTGGTGCTCTTCATAAATCCATACTATCCTTATTATTATACAATAATTTAGACTGAAAACATTTATCTGTATATTAAAATTATTTGCTGGAAAAGAAGAAAAGGTTATTCTTTGTTATTATAGTTTGTATGTTTCATGATAATATTGTTCATGTAACTATAACAACCATTTTGTTTATATTTGCTCGCTTGCTTCCATGGTAACAGCATTTTGATAAAATATTTCATATGTAAAGGAATAAAAATAAAAAATTGGCATATAACATTAATATAACTCCTAAAATATGTAAAGAACATTGTCTTAATGTTAAATTATTTTAATTTAAGCAATAAAACTTAAAAATTTACAAAATACACAAGTACTTTTGATAATTTAACATCATCATCCCCAGGCAAAATTCTAATTTGTAAAATGTTAAACAAACCTCCACAATTGTAAAGTATGTGAAAATAAATGTGAAGAAATAAAGATTTTATTTTATAAGTAAGAGACTTAAATTTGCAGTGGCTTGTTTTTGCTAAACAGGAAATATCACAATTTTTAATCTCATTTTATAAGCTTTAAACGTGATGAATAATAATAGTAATAATAATGCTCATAATGTGATAAAATAATAAAATAATAAGTTACACAAAGAAAACAAAACTAAAACTCCAAAGGTTCAAACCTACATTGTCTAGCTCCAGACATAGCATCTTATTCACTCAGCTATTGCACTCTGAGACATGAAACTTCCAAAGACTTATAAGCTAAACACTAAATTTTCAGAAGCCCAATTTTTGGAAATGTATGATAAATGGATCTTATTATCTGGACAAGGAGCAGCTTGTGTTTAAGGCTACGTGCTCATCAAGTTTTGTTCAAATTAGAGATCTGAACATATGGCCTTGCTAGCAATAGAAATCATTTTTGAATAATTTTTTAATGAATAATTTCAAATAACACATTTGATCACAATGTTTAAACAGTATTTCACAGGTTCTGTCATGTCAAAATTTTTGTTTTAGTCTACCAAAAAAAAAAAAACAAAGTGGGAAAAAAGTCATTCCAAAAAATTTCCCAAATTTTCTGTCAGTCAAAAGAAAAAAATCCCCCCATCTGGAAACACTAAGTGAAATTGCAAAAAACTGCCTTTGGTTCTCAATGTCACTTCCTACTTTTCTGCCCGAACTTGCCACGTGACATCATGAAATCGCTAGGTGTGCTGCACAGGGCTCTTATTGTACATTATTTAAGCTTGACAATTTGCTGTTTTTACTGAAGTGTGATTTGTGATTCAATTTCACACTGACTGTCGAAACAAGTGCACTAGAATTTTATTGCCACTTGCAATCACCAGTGTTATATTTTTATCACCACTTTAATAAAAATATCGCCAAATAGCAATTTTGGTGCTATGCTGCAGGGCTGCAGAGTCGGTAAAAAAACACTCAACTCCAACTCCTGATAATTTTAGTAGGCCAACCCCGGAAAAATTAAATACAAGTCATTTTATGGGGGGTTCAGAGGCACTCATAGGGGGTACCCTACTCTGAACTCTGAAAGGAGCCTGTGGCATTTACCCAAACACTTTTATAGTTAGTATTTTTAATATTTAACTTACATTAATATTTATTTGTATAAAAAAATTAATTTTTAACAAATATTTAATAAGAGGAGAAAGGGGGCGATAAAATTCTACATCTACATATATTCAACAGCATTTTCACTTCAATTTCACCCTTGCAGAAGAGTTAGTTTAACTAAAAAGTGTGTGATCTAACTAGCTACTTCAGCCCCTTATTCAGAAAAGAAAAATATGTACTGATCAATTAGTCTGTCTCATTCAGAAAAATAGAGTACTTATTTACAGCAGGAATAATAAAGGAATGATTCAAAAATATTCAAATTCAATTAAGTCAAAATAATTTAATTATTAAACACAAATACTACAAAGAATACTACATATTTAATAAATTAAATTGCTGGAGCCAGAATCGGAGTTGACACATTTTTTCCAACTCCGACTCCAACTCCTCTGGCCAGAAATTCCTTCTGACTCCAAGTCCACAGCCCTGCTATGCAGTACCACTGCCTAACTATTTGAATAGTGAAGTCATTAAGTATCAAATATAATGCTTTTCAATACAACATTAACTGAAAAGTAAGAAGTTAAAAAGAAAATTAATGTATAGCTTGCTATAGGAAGTTTCAACATTTTTGAGTTACATAGTTTAATTTGTAACTGAATGAGTTAAATCACTAAATAATTATTTAAAAATATAATGTATTGAATTAGAATCTTTAAAGTAAAAATTATAACTTACATTGAAACTTATTATACAAGTATATATAACATATAGAAAAAAAATGTTATATAGCACCTACCTTAACTTGTACATTAGAAGGAATAACATCTGGTTCAAATTTTACAAATATAAAGCATGAATCATTTTTTCCATCACATATTCCACAAATATCAGCAGTATTACTCCTAATTAAATAAAAATATTTTTTAATGTTTATAAAAGTTAATAAACATGTTTAAATTAGAGCAAAAACATTATCATAATATTTCAATAATTCATTTGGATTGATATAAGTATATTTTAAAGAGTTGTTGTAAACAAAAAAGATTTAAATGTTAACAATGAAATTCCATATATATTATTAAAACTTTTTAATTTAAATGATCATCAACTTGAGGAAATTAAAATGTATAAATATTAAATATACAGTCAATTTTAACTTATAACTTAACTTACAACAATCTGTAATTATGATAGCCAGAATTGCTTTATTAAAATATATTTTTGATTCCAATCAGCACTTGCTAATGATATGATACAATAATTAAAATGTTATATTAATGCTGTAATTGCAATGGCAGCTTGTCCATAAGGACTGCAGGGCTGCAGTCCCTCTGGTATAAACTGAAAGTTCCTGTTTTATTATTGTCATTCTTAAATTTTTATTAATTTATTTATAGAAAATAAATTATATATATATACTCCCAGTTTTGTGGCATA